CCGAAAGGTACAATCGGTCTATAAATGATTGTTGTTGTTGTTGTTGTTGTTCAAACTGTTATAAAAATCAGTCAACAATGACAAGAATAACGGAAACGACAATGCGGTATCAACTTCTAAACTTAGTTAATAAGAATTTGGAATAAATTTTGTTGCATAATTCGTATTAATAATTACCGTGCATTGAAACTTTGATAGCCCCATTCCATCCAACCAGCTGTCGTTGAACTACAATTAATAAGGCACAATGCACCAACTTTATCACTGTGGTTCAGTGCAAATCGTGCCAAAATATTTGCGCCAGCTCCAACACCAAAGCCTATTATCAATTTTAGACCAAAATGCGACATAACAAATAATAGTTGGGCAGCCAAATCATCCATTGTTGGGTATACGTAACTGAAATTTTGCAAAAAATGCATCATTTGAACTTCTATTAATTTAAAAAAACTTTTATGACTTTTACTCACTCTTCAGGTAGGCTGGGCGCACCCTCTTCTTGCCCCGGAGCGGTAACATGATACACACAAAAATTGTCTAATAATGTTCGCATCGTAGGATAGTTGAAAAATCCAGCAAAACTTGTTGCATCTAATACACAAATAATATGATATTGTTTTCTAATTATAAAATTTTTCAATAATATTGTCAAAAATATTTATGATTGAAATATTACATATATTATTATTTGTTATTTAAACAATAACACAGAACAAATAATCTTTCTAATATTTACAGTTTAATCCCAAATCATGGTAAGTTAAAATGGCCGGTTTCGAAATATCGCCTTGGACGGCCACTAAAACCTCTCCTTTATCAGTAATCACACGTTGTATATCGCAACTTCCTACCAATGAACCACTTCCATTTGAGAATTGCAACTGAACCGAACGCAACTCTATATCGTCCATCGGATCAACTGGCATATTGCTGTTAAAAAAGAAAATAAGGAAGGAAAAAAGTTTTACTATGGATCTAAATAATATTTGTAGTGATCTTTTTTTAACCGGTGAACTCAATTATAATGAACAAAATAAATGTTTACTTTCTCTTTGAATTTTTAAACGTTATCATTATTTAAGCGATGGGCGATTCGTCAAAAAATATCTGTTCATAAAACACATAGAAATGGAAATTGTATTGTTTTCTTATGCATTTGTTGATTGAATTTTGTCTCTCTCAATTTTTCTTTTTTCATTTTTTAAGTGAAAAAATACTTTCATTCGAGTGTTAAAAAAATTGAAGTATATTGGAAAAAATATGGCTGTGATTTGTTTTACTACGTTTTTCAAAAATGATATAATAGATATAAATGTCGCTCTGCGTATTTTATAAAAAAAAATGTTGTCAATGTGATGAAATATAACCCTATAGGGCTGTTCCGTCACTCACGCAAACAGCCGTTTGCTGTAACACTTTTTATTTATGTTGCTAAATTAAAAGACTTGCATTTAGTGAAACATTTATATATTTGTTTATTTCTGAATGACGTCACCAAAACTTAAATTTTGCGAATAAATAGATTATTTTGGGGTGGAATATATATATATACCCCAGCTGTAATGTATAGTAGGGAGTGTTTATTGTTGTCGACACAATGTCGCGTTGCCAAGGGCAACTTCATTCAACAACATTCGGCTACAATATCATGCTATATTTACCATGACAAATTAATGATTTTACTTTGAATAGTGAATTATTTCTCTGATGATTTGTTATCCACACCTATATTTGTTATAAAAAAAATTGAATACATGTTTGTCAATTTTCGAAAGCTTGACATGTAGATTATATATTAATCTAAATATTCTATGATTCTCAGACTGCGAAAATAATCTAAAAGATATGAATATCTTGTGTAGATTTTCGGACAAAATTAAAGCTTAAAGTATCGTATCCATTTAATAAAACGAAATATTTTGTAAACGAAATATTTTGCAAAGTGAATTCTATCGACATGAAATATAAAAGCTTTTATTTGATTACATTTTTATTGTTAGCCCAGCCCATCCAACCAAATATTTTCCTTTGAATTCATATTCAATGGAATCGTTTTTGGATCATATCTGTCATATCAGTTATTTTCAAGGCATAGCGACAGACGATGAAATTATCGTATACATCAAAATGTCCATATTATTGTGAAATTAAAAAACGAATTCGGACATCTAAAACACAAAAGTAGGCGTCTAAATTCGAGAGATTCGAGCTTTTATCAGTCAACAAATTTTAACAACATTTTTGGGACATTTTGATTTACCATTTTCTATTTAGTTAATTTTGTCATTCATTCGTTTTACCCCTAGTAACTTCTGAAATTGTTAATGGTTTACTTTATTTTATTTCTCAGGTAAATATGCCAGTCTGTTGTCAATATGTTTCGAATTTCGATATTACCCCAGAAGTCTTATATAATGTTTCATTATATTAATTTCATTCGTTGATATCAAGTCCAAATACATATAAATTTCATTTCTCACTTAGGTGCTAATATATTGTGGAAATAAAAAGGCTAAATAACTTCACAAGTATTTCAATACAACTGAAAACATCACGTCAACATTTCGAACGTTTCATAGATGACATAAGTACCTATGTTAATTTACAATTCACATCATTAAATGGGTGAACACAATGAATATTTCAAATCCAGTTGGATGTTATCCAAATATTTAGGACCAAAATATTGCGAAGGCAGTAAAATCTGAAAGTGCAATCATTTGAAGTGCTTACTGATTAACGCAAAGTCTTCTTTAACACATTTTCATAACCTGATTTTGATGACAATTATAGTTTGAAATATGAATAAAAAAACTTGTGGTTCTATATGAATTTTCTCCCTTCTTCTTGAAATTCGTTTTCAAATCAGCTATTTGTCGATGAAGTTTTTAGAATGATTTTATCCATGACGTACGCTTTTTTGGTTTGACGTCAATTTTAAATTCTAAATAGAAAACTATAAAAAAATACGTACTTCATGCTCTACACTAATTTATCATATTGTACTGAATATAACTACTTTCAATGCTGTACTGATGTTACTCTTTTCTTCATGCAAATTATTCAAATTGTTAACATTCGATAAAATGTCTATTTATAACCATTGTCTAATTACAGAGAAAGAAACATCTCAGAGGAGAGAATCTTCTAACCAAATTTCTTTTTTATTCAAGAAATGCGAAAAATTGGGAAAATCACGTTTTTCATGTCGTTTTTAAAATTATTTAGTTTTTAGTAGTTTTTGCTCATTCATAAATTTCTTCATTCAGTAATAATCGGTGTCCAAATAGGAGTGTCAGTAGTATAATTGTGATTGATCATGATCAACATTTACAATAAAAAGATTGGTCAAATGGAAATTTCTAACACTCTAATTGAGACACCGTTTTCTATTTAATATCGTAAATAAAACATTATATGGATACATTATGTTAATTTGTGATATCTAAATGAAATGTTTGTCAATGTGAAGTCATCCTCTTCATGCTGTGACTGGAAATTTACTCAAAAATGGTTCATACAATAATTGTTTGTAAAACATATCAAATATTAAATAAAGTAATTGCTGGAATAACTCATTTAAGGAAGTGGAAATGTTAAGGAAAACAACCAACTTACCCAAGAAGTCGTGCCTCTTCGGCAGTATGTGTTGGTGCTGATGGCATCTTTGTATTTTGTGCTTTTCCTATGACACGCTCACGATCTCTGCAAAAATGGTTTTAAATTTCGTAACAAAACGCAAAACTGCATGCATATTAAAACAGATCAAATCATCAATCGTCAAAGAAGAAAACTCGATAATCTAAATATGTTTGTTCTAAGATTTTACGGATTTTAAATATACAGTACGGAGTATTATTTATTATTACAGTAAAACCTCTTACTATTTAGAGTTTTTTAAGTTTCATTCTTCCCGACACTATAATTTGGTCAACGATTTGTCGCACTTGCTTAACCCTCTAATGCATTAATTTATTCGGCATAAGAGCTATTTTCCATGGTTCAAAATTCTTTTTAAAAAATAATCGAAATGCAATAAATCCCATAGTTTACAAAAAAAAAATGATTGACAAAATTCGAGAACAATCAAATCCATTGTTTAAAGTACTATAAAAGTGTTATATATGCTGATTATGCCTTTTGGAACGAATATAAACCATGCACAATCACTTTATTTTAAATGATAGTTGATAGTCTTTGCATTGTTATGTTGATTTCTCAATTTTTCACTACTAATTTCGTTTTTATGAACAAAAATGTATGCTGAAATCAAGAAAAAAAATCTTCAGATTCGCCGATTTCCCAATATTTGGAGGTTTTTTTTTAGCTATTGGAAGGTCATTTCGTATGGACGTCTCGATGTACAATTTTTTCCCAATATTCGAAGTTCCCATAATAGAGAGGTTTTACTGTTTTACATTTCTCTAAAAATACAAATCGACATTATTATAACATGTTCAATTTTAACGATGGCAGAAATTGATTCTGATCTGTTTCAACAGGTTAGTTAATTCATTCGAAAGTTTTAATTCGTAAATGTGTTGATTTGTGATTTGCTAAAAGAAGAGCGATAATAACAAGTGACAAGTATTAATATCACATATGGTTTCATAGAAGATGCTCATGCTTATACTCAAAATATCGTAGTTACTAGACGCTCTTCTTTCTCAAATACTAAATAAAGGAACATAAAAAAACGAAATAAAAGAAAATAAAAAATGGTGAATGAAGATTTTTTTAGTCAATGAGATGACTTCAAACAGCATTTAATTTTCACATTCAATTTATTAGCTTACACAATGAAAATTGTTCGATTCTTATCAAAGCATTCTATATCATTTATACGGGGTGTCATTATCTTGTAGAGACAGACTTGAGGAACACGATAGAAGCAAAAAAAAATGATCATTTTCCATGGCCCCCTAACTTGCATTTTAATCGACCTAAAATTTATTCTATCTTGTAGAGGAAGACCCCAGAATATAATGCAACCATAAAAGACTAGATATTCGAACCTATTTTTGAGGTTTTTTATCGATTTGTAAAAATAACCAACCGCCAACTCGCACTCTCTGGTAGTTGCAAACTTATTTGAGAGACCCTACACTGACAGAACTAAGGTTATGATTTTGACAACACCGTGTTGTAAATGCTTCACAATGACAACAATTGTTGGCTACTTCACAACATTCGTTGGAATGTAAGCATTTACAACACGGTATTGTCAAAATCATAACCTTAGTTTTGTCAGTGTGTATATTTATGATATATATTTTATGATATGATTTTTTTTCAATTTTTCTAAACCAAATAAAATGAGTAAAATTATCAACCTATTGAAATAGCGATCTGAATGTGGCTTATTATCATTATTATTATTAAATGGTTTATGTTTGAATATGTTTCAAGTAATATAAATATTACTCAGTATTTTGTGCATTATATGTACTCAGATTTATGCTATTTTCAGGCGTTCAGTGGCATAACTATAGTTACTTTTATAAAAGTTGGATTTGAGAGTTTGTATGAAAAAATGTCATATTAGAATTCACACTCTTAAATTGACTCTCTTTCGACATTATTATGTACTAGCTATACATAAGTATAAGATGATCTATTGGGTGTATCGATTAATTTTAAAGGACTTTTGCTAGGGGGTAAGCGCGCTTTTAAATATATAGAAATATGAACAAATTCAGGAGATTTCAACGAATTCAAGAGATATCGAGAGATATGAACGGAACTTTATATTTTTGGGGGATATTGTGAGATATTCTCATCTAAAAGTTGTTCTGGAAGTGGGCTTTAGTGGATCCTCAGGATCATCAAAACTGCTCCCAGTTCTGGAAGCGGGTTTTGGTGGATCGTCAGGATGGACCAGACTATGGTTTGACAATGCCCTGGCCCATCCTGAGGGTCCACTTCCAGAACTGGGAGCGATCTGAATGATCCTGAAGATCCACCAATACTTTGAGATAATGTGAGATATAATTGAATACTTTGAGATATTTGAGTTTTAATCAGATTTTAAGAATGAAGTTAAATTTTGGTACATATATGTATATTTATAAATATGCGCGGAATCCCCCTAGGATTTTTGTGTTCAAAGAAACATTTATTTCAAAGCAAAATGAATGAGTACATTAACCAATGTATTGCCCATCGTTAGCTTTGACTTCCGCCCATCTTCTTGGTAGCTTGTCGATTCCACGTTGGAAGAATGCCTCATCTTTTGAAGCTATCCAGTCATCGATCCAATTTCGCACTCCTTCAGCATTTCAAAACGATATCTCGGACAAGCCCATTTGCATCGATAGAAACAAGTGGTAGTCAGAAGGAGCAAGGTCTGGAGAGTACGGGGGGTGATCAAGCCGATCCCAACCGAACGCCTCTATCTTTTGTTTGACGATGTGTGCTCGATATGGCTTAGCATTATCATCGTGAAACAAAACCTTGTGGTGTTTTCTCGCTACTAGCGGCCGTTTTTCGTTCAATGCATGCGCCAATTTGTTTAATTGTTGTCGATAGCGATCAGCTGTAACCGTTTCGCCTTGTTTTAGCAGCTCATAATACACGATACCTTTCTGATCCCACCATATGCATAGCATGACCTTCTGGCAATGAATGTCTCCTTTTGGCTGCGACGGTCCTGGTTGGCCTGTATCAACATACGCTGCTTTACGTTTGGGGTTATCGTAATAGACCCACTTTTCATCGCCAGTAACAATTCGACTAAAAACACTATGTTTTTTGTATTCTTTAAAATGTTTTTTGCATGCTGTGATTCGTGCTTTGAGTTGATTTCCAGTCAGTTGCTGTGTTACCCATTTTCCCAACTTTCGAATCATTCCCATTGCATGCAAACGTTCAGAAATGGTTGATTGAGAGACATTCAACTCTAATGCAAGTTCTTTTTGCATACAGGCTGAGTTTTCAACCAATAATGCTTGCAAATCCGCATCGTCAAATTTTTTTGGCTGACCTGGGCGATCTTTGTCTTCCACGTCTAAATCACCACTTTTAAAGCGTCGAATCCAATACTCACAGGTTGAAATCGATGGAGTATGCTTGGAACCATAAGTTTCCAACAATAATCGATGGCTCTCAGCGGCACTTTTCTTCGAATTAACCCTAAAACCGTCCTTCTGCAATCCACCTTAATCCCGTCTTTGGGGGCACTCCCACTCCACTCTTGGGGGTTTTTCCCGACTAAAAATGATTTCAAAGGAAAATTTAAGCCCCGAATCATTTGAATTACAAGAGTAATTACAACGTTGAATAAATTTTTGGGATTAAGCCTTATAAAATCAAGTACCGCATTTTCCGGAATAATGGGAGCTCATCGTTTTGAGCTGCTCATATACACCAAAATGAAATTCCAAGAAATTCTTACGGATCTTAACATTTGATACCTTAAGTCTAACTCAAAAATATATCATCGCTAGTGTAGCGTTTTTCCTCAGTTTAGATATTCATATATATCACTTTAAGGTGAACTATTAATTTGAAGCTACATATAAAAAATGGATAAATTTAGAAAAGAGCAAGGTAAAAATATATTATTCTAAAGGTAAACTTTAGGTAGACTTGATTAGGACTATAAAACGTGGAGGCTAAAAATAGTTTCCGTGTTAGTGAAGCCTAGCGGCAAGTTGAATATACAGAAATATTGACCCATGAATATTTTTTTCAACTTCGAGGTATACTTTTTTTGAATTGCGGTATACTTAAGGAGACTTCAGGTAGAGTTGAATGAGATGATTGAAAAAAAAATTCGACCTCGCCGGCATTTTGAATATCCAAATATGAGGTCGTCAATACGAAATTTAATATGAGGTCGTCAATGAAAACTAGATGAAATGCCATGGTGAGGCATATCTCTCTCATAAGAAATCCATATTTTTGGTTTTTTTACATTTTTGAATGGAAAATGCATTCACATTTCATCGTCTCGCAAAAAAACGACCAAGAAACTCTTGTACCAAAAAACTCCCGACCGAGTTTAAATTAAAAAGAAAAACATGAATTCAAATATCATGAAAAACCAGTTTTTTTGAGTGTGATATCATTTGCTAGTCAATCGTTTCCAGTGGAAATAAATTACCCAAGATCTACGCAACAGCTGATAACTTTTCAAATATAAGATGATATTCGTTAATCGAGTACGCTATGGGACACGTTATGTGATTATGGTTTGTGTTTTGTGTTTACCTCTCATACATAAGTTTGGATTTTTGGCTCGAATTTGCATTGAAATATCTTCAAACTATATCATATATGCATACATCGTATACAAAAGTTCAAATTTTTGTATGAAAAGTGTTTCGAAAATAATTGTATCGCAATACTAATGTCATAATTAGTTTTCTCGTGAATTAAAATTTACAGCAAAAGATATGTAATAAATGCATTTCGTAATTCACAGTGCAGAAAACTTCATCTTACTTACTTTTAACTCTCAACAATTTGTTTTTTAAAAGATAAGAAATAACAATTATAATAATAGAGATGAAATAATTTCTGGTATTAATTTCTAAAATTCTAATTAAGTATAAATTTCTAGGATTAAATACTACAAAATTATTTCATCAGGAATTATTTAAAAAAAAAAATACAATAGAAATCAAATTCAATGTGATACAAGTAGATATTATTCTTCAGAAATAAATGTGGTCTACTGACGCCTCACTGTATTATATATATAGGCTATACTGTTGCGTCCCCCCGCACAGTATCTATCAGTGTTCGCAACGGAGGCGATTTTTCGACTCCGGCGCCGACCGGTCTCCGACCGGTTCGGCTCGGATCGGATCGGAGTTCGGTACCTTTTCGGTGATCGGAATTCGGACCATCTATAGACTGTTTATGGTGTATTCCATAAGTTGTGCTCGGTACACGGCATAGCCGGTGCACAACCTACCTTCTTTCAAGTGTAAAATATGTTTGATTTTTGATTGCATTGTTTACAGCAAAGACTTTGACTCAATTCGAATTGCTGTTTGTTTCATTTCAACCCAAAGAAAAATTTCAACTCGAAATGAACAAATTTTCTAGATATTTTGTGTGTAGTAAATATATCGAACAGTCCAAACAATCCGAATCGTACGAACAGTCCGAAGATTTAATTTTCTACGAACGAACGAACTCTGGATTCAATGTCCATTGTATACAAAAATGTTACTGATGGTGCAGAGCATATACTGAGCATAGATATATATTCGGGATATTTTGTGAGTATCTGATATTTATCGCAGCCAGACATTATAATGGAGCGAAAACAATAGAAATGATTGTTATAGGTCTAAAAACCATTTACATTACTACAATCACTATAACAATAACTTCTATTGTTTTCACTCTATTTTAAAGTCTGGCTCCAATGAATATCGGATACTGACAAAATATCCAGGATATATATCTATGCTTAGTATATGCTCTGTGATGGTGAGTAATAAGATCAGTTAACTCTTGTATATGAAGCCGATTATAACAAATACGAAGGTTAGGTGTCAAATTCTATGAAAGACAAAAAGTGTAGAATTAATATTGCACTCAAGTTTCAAGTCCTCATTCATTCTCATATTAACTAGAATTGATTTCAAAACTAATTTAGTTACCTAATAAATGTCTTACAACTAATATTTTATTACATTTGTTTGCCTTCAACACCAACTTCAGCCTTTCGGATTACTTGTTGGAGAATAACACTTTGTAACATTGTGTTAAATATTTAAGCTCTTCACAAATTATACATGTTTGAAGATAATCTCATTTCGACGGGTGGCATTCAATGTCGACTGTTTCGTCTATTTTATTGAATGGAAGACCACATTTTAAATATCATAATTGTAATGCAATGTCATATTTTAAATATGCGAGTTCCTATATAAGGTGAGAGATTCTATACTGCATAACCACACGTAATATCATTTAAGTGATCAATGGAAGATATGCAAATGGAAGAGAAAAAATCGAATGAATGACATTATAAGAGAACATGAATTACAGACAATTTATGAGTTTAGCCTGCGTATTTTATTTATTCTGTTTGATATCCGACTTTCAGAACGATTTATACATGTCTTACTTACCGTTTATTTATTATAATTGCTCGTCCGCCCCGTGGCGGAGTTTGTATTTCATCTTGCAAATTGGAATTCCCAATAGCACTGCCAATAACACGCTTAACTGTTTCGAGCACTGTAACTGGCCCAGTTGGTTCTGTTGTCGAATTGTAAACAGAATTCGGTCCATTACTTAAGGACACATAACCGCCCTCGAATTGGGGCATCTTTTTTTTATTCGTTTGTTTCTGGTTTTTTGTACGTTGATTATCGAAGTGATGCATTATTTAATTGGACAGTGCGGACAGTGATGTCATTAGCAGTTTCAGCACCGAATTTCATCCAAATGGACATTTCATATTTCCGTTTAGATTTCAATTTAATTTGACCCATAATGTATTGAATAAAACGCAAGTAGTGTATATCAAGTAGTAGTCGTAATATCATTTGAAGACAGATAAGTTGGACAATATTTTTGTTTCGCAGTGATGTAGTTTTAAAACCAAAAGACCATAAATAAAAAGAAAAAAATGAAATGCAATTTTATATTTGTTCACATAACAAATTGTAACAGAAGATGGTGACATTTTTGATATATCGTTAGAGCAAAAAAAAAAAACATACACATGAACATCTCTAAAAGTGATTAAAACACTTCAAGTGTAAGAAAATGCAACAGTTAAATATTGTTATTCCATCAAATATACATGTTTTTCAATAATACATATAAATTTACCATTTGAAAACCATTTACCAGTTTTATTAATTATTGGGAGTTGCGTGAAAATTTCGAAGATCATGTTGTTATGATTAAAATCACGATTAACGACAATAGTAGTAATGAGTCACTTTCTCGATATAAATCCTAGTTTCTTCGTAAACAACCATATTTTCAAGCAAAAAAATGACAGAAATTATAGTTTTGGTATTTTATAAAATACCAATATCAACAATAATTCGAAATGTTTAAAAATAAAAGTAATTTATATCGAATAAATCTTGTTTTACATTCGATTAAAATGAATTGAATTCTTTATAAATATAGATGCTACTTTGTCTACGAGATACTTTACAGAAAAATATATTTGAAAAATAAAAAAACATAGAACATTTCCCAAGACATCTTTGGTTATTTATAAATCTTCTTCGATTCTAAAACTCACAGGTGGAATGTATTATTACTTGGAAACATGTATTATTTGTGTTTTGGAGATTTTTTTAAAATATACTCGGTAAAAATATATATTTCTCTACATCATTAAAATATGTTTGAATAAAATTGTGCCACAACAAACAAACAAGAAAAATGCAATATCTCAGTGATGAAAGATGCAAAATGACTTTCTATAACACTAATATATACAATTAAAAAAGTGCTCATATTTAAAAATTGGGTCATAAAGGAGAAATTTTCACAAAATATTTTTTTGGAGACCTCAAAAGACGCATTTTTGTTGTTCGCGTAAAATACAGGCGCTTTTTATTCAGGCGCTCAAGAAATATATTTGGAATTTTATTACGGTGTATCTGAGGTTGCAATTAGTAAAATAAATAACGAATATGAAAAAATCGTTGTTTTACTTTATAAATATTTGTAAAAAAAAATTAAATTTAAGTGATGTTTGAAAATTCTCCAGAAAATGTACTACCAATCTCTATATTACTTTTTTTCATTTATCCTTCCGGCTAAGAAAAAAATTGTTGCTTTTAATACCGGAATTTTTCACTATTATCATAGCTCCAAAGTTCAAAGTTCTTGAAGCACACGAAGATTTTAATTGAATAGTTTCAGGAGATTCTAGAGATACTGTCAGAATAAGGGAGTTTATGAAAAATTCATGAATCAAACACATGAAATTTCAGTGATTCTTTCATTCTTACATCGCTTAACATTCTTACTTAATTCGACTATACCTCTTCCTATTTCAAGATGATTTTGTCTTAAAAAACTTAATCTCAGTTGTGATAAATTTTTCATAACCTAGCTCATTCCACTATCGACCAAAGACTAGATTTTCTTTTTTCTTTAATAAAATTGTCGATTAAATCCTTTAAGTTTACTCCGTAAATAATTTGTGTACGTAATCTTCTTAATGAAAATTTGTATGAAAACTAATCAAAAACCAAGTTAGTCAGTTATAGTCGAATTAATTCATTTATACTTGAATTTTTATAGATACTTTTCTTGTTTGAATTTATTATTCAAACTAAATTCTCAACTCAAACTAAAAGTTAATGATTTGAACTTTGTTAATAGAAAAATATTTAAAGAATTGCAGAAATTCTTTGTTTTATTTTAAATTTGAAATATGGACATTTGAATGAGCTAGAATAAAAACCCGACTTGAAATTAAAATTTATAAAAGTGAAACAATTTTTTTATGTAGATTGTATATACAATCGCATAAATAGCTTTTATAGATTTTTATTTCAAGTCGGGTTTTTATCCTAACTTAATCAGTTGTGGAATTTAATGCGATATGGTTACATCAGCACTAATTTTTGAATATCAATTTGTGCAATACCACCGTATTCTATATTAACGGAATGTATTTTTTTTACCATTGAAATGAACGTAGACATTAGGGCTCCTGAAAACATTTAAAATAAACTTCTGAGCACGCATTGCTTGTTTTGACAGCTTAAACTCTGCTATGTACAGTGGCGACTCCTTTTTACACTGAACAAATATGTTATAGTTTAATACGGTGACATTGCATTTGTTCGTATTCGTATTTGCTTTTTTATTTTATTTCCCTTTTACATTTGTAGCTTGGAAAAAATCGATACATTTGTGTATGTATAGATTACATACTGTATGAACGTATGGATAGATTTTTTTCATGCGTTTACACATACTATTCATATTTTTTGTTATTTTTTTTAATGCTGGAGGAAAAGACTTGAAATGAGAAAAACAGCAAAAATTCCAATGTATTGAAAACATTATTAAAGTAAATGTCTAGGCAACAAATACATAAGACACTGTCAAGAAATCGAAACGTAACAGTATGAATCAGTATTTGCAGTAAGTCCAAAATACGAACAAATACTTAAAGCGAACAACCAACACACACACACACACACACACACACTATATATATATATCATTCGTGAAGACCTTTCTCAAGAAATTGTAATCAGCTATAAAGCTAGTGCTTTTTGGTGTATTATTCAAATTTTCCCCACATAATTTATACAATTATGCACAGTACATTCATATTTTGCTTGCGTTTTTGCAATCATATAACAATTGACTACTACTATTATCCATGATAACTTTTGAATTCCTCATAAGCTATTGAAATAAGGAATTGAATGTATTAGCGCATTTCAAATTAATTTGAAAATGATATTTTCGTGCAACAAACAAAAGGTTTTTCGTTTTCTATTAAATGGGCTTGTAATAAAACAAAATTGAGTTAGATAATAGTTTCCCTTGAAAGTCAATTTGTACATTTACACCATCAAAAAATTTGTTAGTGGAAATTTTGTACTATATATTCAACCATTTATAAAAGCATTTTATGGAGACGGTTAAAATCCATGCTATCGCTTTAATACTGTCAGCATGATAAATATATGTTTTTTCTCGCATATAAAATGTGAAGTGTTTAATAGTTTTATATATGATATGTATAAGCTAACGAATGGTTGCTTCCAAAAAGTGTGTTAATTGTAAAAAGAATTATATGAAGTAGATTTTATACGATACTGTCAAATTGCGCATTTATTAAATGACAACAATATCCACAACAAACCACAGCCACACTCATATATGACTTCGTTCTGTTAATTTGGCCATTAATATCTATTTGTACATCGTTTTTTATGAATACATATTGAAATCAGACAATATTCATAATTTCAACGACACTTTTGCTTTGTATTTTTTTATTCAACTTGGAACATAGCCGGAACTGTTAATCAAAGAAAATTTATGTATTATTTAATACGAATTGAAAGGGCCGAAAATTGAAAATGATGTTTTGGTCATTTCTGCTAAATGACAAAACCTGCAAACCTATTTATAGTGCATTTAATTTTGATAATAATATTTAAAAAATAGAATTCATTATTTTAGAGTGGTGTTTATATGTCTGCTCGAAATTAAATTTCTGTCTTTATCACTAAAATCAAACTTAAATCACTTTCGAAAACTTTGAAAGAAAATGTTTATAACATGAAGGCTATAGCTTTTTCCATCAACTGAGACTTAGTATTTTTGTTAATACAAATGTTCTATATTTTTTCAAACAAACTTTTGAAATATAAATAATAATAAATTATAATTTTTGAATGGTCATTATAATCGGATCAGTGATATATGGTTTAGAATCATGTAAAATGAATGTGGTGTGGCCTAGTGTAAGCTAAAGTGAGAACTGTGAATTGTGTAAGTTGATTACGAATTTAAAAAATAGTGGTATTGAAAAAGACGATATAACCCATTTTATAAGTAAAATCAGAATGAAAACTTGATAATATAATATTTTGAAATATTTATAAAAATAAAACATACCTTGAGAATATGATAAATAAAATGTTTTCACTCTATTTTTCCGGTGGCAATAAATGAACGTGCTTTGCAATTGTCAAGTTAAAAATACTTATTTGTATAAATTTTGCGACTTAGTCAAAGTCAGTTTCTTTGCTATTGTTTTTTTTTTTTTCTTTCCTTTTTTTATATGATAGTTGTTCAAAAGTCACTCTTATATCTAACAAATAGATTTTAATTTAGATGGTTGAATGTTAACTGTGCCAATAATTTTCATAGACACCAACAACAATAACACTACAAAAAACACTGACACAGTGAACTAATATTTGAAGTTTCGTTTTGATACACTTTTTTCAATATATTATTAAAATTAGAATGGTAAATCAAATTTCATCACCAAAATATTTCTGCATACGTTTTGCGGCATATGTATAATCAAAATGTTATATATTTGTCTGATTCGAGCAGTAGAACATTCGTCTGATTCAAATTCTTTGCGATACAATTTGAAGGTAAGAATTGGTATTCTTTTGTTTGTATATGGAACGTTGAAACTCTCAATGAACCATATATAAAAATAACAAGGCCTGTGATTCGCATACACTTCTCTCGTAACACTTTATTAATAAATTCCCACTTTTCATACCAATTTTAACTTGATTCTATATGTTTTCATTCACAATGTTTTTCGATTACGTCAATCTCTTATCACACCAAAAGTCAAACTAATAAAATTTTGGTGAATGCATTGGTACATTGCTACTTTGTATGTACTAAAATTCATTGCATTGAAGTTGACTGCTAACCATTTTGGATACCTTCTAGTATATGCGAGCAATTTTCAACTCTTTGCATCATGGCATTTACGTATATTTTAAAATATCAATAAGGACGTCATTCGTTTGTACTTAAATTTATCACAAAATTATAAACGCCGGTTGTCCTGAAATGTCGCTAAGATAATTTGCTCACTCAAAATGCAATACCTAAATTAAATATACGTACAATCTAGCGTACAATTGTACAGTGAAAATCCACTTGAAAGGTATTAAGAATTTTTAGAATAAGAAGAAAATCTTATGATCAAATCAAATCAATTTATTATTAGAATAAATGCTCTTTCTACATAAGGGAGAAATCAATAAAGGGTTTTGTAATTTTTTTTTTTACTCATATCTTAAATGTCGATAGAGGTCGCTGTTTTATAAGCACAAATTACCAATCGGCTTAAGCTTTTTCATAAAGCAATAATCATTTTATAATGATGATGTCACCACTATCACAATTGTAACCATTTGATTTGTTCATTATAATCAAGGTAATTTTCAAATGAAATTTATCTAATAAAACATATATTTATTTATCAAAACTTACGTGTAATGGGCTAATCCATAAATTTTCATTGATTCAGTCGCCAAATTATGCGATAAATTTTCAATAATGTTATTCACCATATTTAGCACGGATTATCATTAAGTTCTTTTGGATATTTTTATTTTAACGATTCCAAACAAATAATATGAAATCTTATTGCTGTAAAAATCAAGAAATATATTGTACACAAAATTCACATCAATTTTTTAAATGAACTCGACATTCTAATGTTGTTTATTTAATATGTTACAATATGTTAAAATATCAAAAAAATCAGAATGGATCGACACATTTTTATAAAAAATTATATTCGTTGAAAAACCCGATTTTTTCAAAAAAAATCACACAAATAATTTCTCGTTGTAATTTAAATGAACTTGAGTCTAGTATAATTTTTGAGCGATTAACGTGACACAACTCAGTTCAAAATTGAAGTTCTTCAATCAAGCTAAATAGAAATAAAATTCAGCAAATGAAACAGAATCACATTGTCCACACACCAATCCCTTTATTCATTTTAAAAACTATTGATCAACTACACACCCAAATCGTCTAATTGTTAAACGAATCCGTTGTGATTTTGCCAAGATTATACACTGAACGTGCTTTAGCCTTTCATCGGACTACAAAGTAAAGAACTTTTTTTACAAATTGCGCATTATGACTTGGATACCAATATTCACTTACACAATCTTCCTTTTAAATAAAAATACAGATTTACCATAAAAAGCTCTATTGATTAAACAATGGTTGTTATTAGCATTCACCACCAGAATACGTACTGAAAAATTCCTTTGCAAAAATATTTATTATTGCCAATTTTTATTGAATTTTGAAATGCATTACAACTGAAATCGTTTAAATAACAAAATAAGACGAAATTTAAATTTCATGAATATATCGACGTTGTTACTTAATTTTTTGATAGTATTGACTGCTTTCTCTAGTGCATTGTTAAGTTGTATTAAATATATCTAGTATATGAAAATCGTTAATAAAATCGTAGTTTCAAGAACAAGTAAAGATGTTGATTTGATATCACAAGAATCCGTATGAGAATTGTAAATATCCCAGAGGCAGTTAATTGTACTAATTTAATTGTTATTTGATTTTTAATGCAACAACCGACAACCGACAACATGTAAAAATACAAACTTCTATTTTTCGGAATTCAAATGGAATTGTAAAAGGAGAAAACTGTTAAACAATATTGAAACATTTTTTCATTACATTACTCGAATAGGAAACAAAACCAGCAGATAAATTAAAACCGATGAGAGAAGACAAAATCAAAAACAGCAACGGACACCTTACTTTGTACAACGTTCCGCTATGCTGTTTTCTTATTTTTCATTATGAATAAAAATACAGCTTCAATACACTACGAAGAGAAAGAAAACGGTTTCAAAAAGAAGTATAGTGGAAACATGTGTAAATATGAACATAAAATTCATCGGCAGCACGGCGGTAAGCAACAACAACAACAACAACATCGCGTCGAACACAGAGCACCACATTTGAATCAGTTTATTTTTCGACTCGATGCTGAGTGGTTGTCTGTTTGGGCTCTCTCTTCTACACACACGCACACACTTTCTCAACATATTTAACAAAATATTCGTAACTTAATTTTATACGTAACGAAGAAAAGAATTTTTTTTTTTAATCTCTGAGTATAATTTTTTTTAAAAACAATTACATACAAATAATATATACATTCACGCATACATATATGCACGCACACCGGTTAAGTGTAATTCATTCGCACGCTTGAGTCAAGTGTGTATTTCAGTTGAACATTTTTGACGTGTGTAATCACCACTTCCATTATTTCTTAGTGTTTGTGTGAATGTTATAACATTATACTTTTAATTTTGTTGTCATCGCTATTTCATTTCGGCTCCATTCATTTAATCAAAAATCATTGCTATATTCGATCGTATTATCAACAAGCTTTTGTGTGTTTATTACATCTTCACTACTTCTCTTCGGCGGCCCCCATTAAAAAACAGCTACCAAGATTTTGTATTACATGTGCAGAGAGATCATTTCTATTCCAGCGTTCAATCTTATTGGATTTCAAAAGTAGGAACCGAAAACTGTCACTTATAAAAGGCTGCAGACTTTAAAGTACTATATTTTTGCGTGTGTCTTCTTTGGTTGTGATCAACTTTCCAATCTCTTTTTTTGTTCAACACGTTCATTCACCCAAAAATATTCATTCAGTCAAAACTACTTTACAAAAGCATATCAATCATAACATAACACGAATATTAAGTTTTTAAAGGTATGTATTTTATGTTTAATTCTACTTTCTTTGATTTTTTTTTTTTGACATTTGTATACGTCACTCATATAAATTGTAAAATATAGCTCAAAGATCATGTGTAAACGTGTCAGAAAGCCAAAAGCGATCTAAGTCATTTAAAGTTGCTCATATAATTAAATGACAGATAGTGAATTGCTGTGGTTGAATTGGGAATTTGTGCCTAAATTATAAATTCGTAGTGAATGAAAAATCGATTTACTCGTGGATAAAAAAAATTGAAAAACGAATTTTTATCAAAATAAACTCAAAACATAAATATATATATATAAAAGTAATATATAATAAAATATATAAAAGTAAGTCACAACATGTTTAACATTTTAGTGAATGAATTACAGAATTGAATTGAGTTTTACAACTCGTTAATTTCACATAAATCACAGTAAAGAAAGATTAAGCATGTATCAAACAAGATTACTTGTTAGCCTATTGGGAATATTTCATATTTTCAAATATTGTTGTTGCTTTCAGTAGCTGCTAAATAATATTTGAACGTGTATATCAAATGATAATATATTTGATCAACACTTTTAAATATTGTTTAATGAACTCATTATATTGGATTCAGATACTTTCTCTGAACATATGCAAAACGAAGTGTGTTTAATTTAATGCATGACGACATTGTAGATAAACATCACAGAAAAAACACACATTCATATTCAACTTTAATACAACAATTGAATACAATCAAAATAATAGCGGGGGAAAATATGCTATAACTTACAGTTTAATTAGGTATGGAAGCGGTGGCGAAGATTTTAGCAAATTGCGTGCAAAAGAAAATATTAAGAGTAGGTGTAAAACCAAAATTTCATGTAAAATCATTCGATGAAATCAACGTTTCCTTTTAAATTTGGTGCAATTTTTTTGCAGATATGTGAATGAGGCCAAATGAAATGAAAGTGTTGTGCTATTGCTTTGATCAACTTTTTTTTTTCTCCACTACAAATGTACACAATTGATTCATTTCGAATGCATGCCTCACTTTGAAATTTCTTTTTGATATTAGCTCACACAGTGAAAAAAATATATGTAAAAGAATGGCATGAACTAAATACTTGTTGAAAATACAATTAGTGGCCGTTTTTTCGAAGCCATTTTTATGTAAAGCAATATATGTCTGATTATTTGAAAAGCATCAAAATTAGATCCGGATCGCTGGCATCCAAAAATTACACACAAGAACCGTTAAAATAAATTATTTTATTTTGGAGCGCAAATTTATTTATTTATTAAAATTAATTTGATCGATATTATTGCATTAGATAAAGCATATATTCTTTTTTTTTAACTTTTGAGATTTTTACATTTTTATCGAAAAAATGTGCAAAAGAATCGAATGTTTTTGATTGTAAATAAAATACGATTTTCTTTTTTACGGATTAGATGATTAAATCAGTTATTTTACTGTCGTGCCTTGTCGCAATCATCAGCTGTGAAGCAGAGCTGAAGGTAGAAAAATTATTTATACCCGAGATTTGTGCAAATAAATCGAAAAACGGTGATATGCTTACAATGCATTACACGGGCACATTGACTGACGGCAACAAATTCGACTCAAGGTAAGACTCATCTTCTTCTTATTTTTATTTATCGATACTTAGTTTCATTTATTGTTATTTTCTATTGTTTGTTTGACTGGGGTACAGTCACTGGGCTCATAACAGTTGTTCTCTTTCAATATGAAGTCGAAATAGGACTATAAAAACCGGACATTTTTTTTATTTATTCATGTGTAATCATTTTGTCGTCTGTGTACTGTTAAGCAGAGTTATTACTATTAGTAAAGCAGACAAACATTAAGTAATGAAACATATGTAAACACTAAATACTTACATTATCCAAGCTATCAATGTACACTATACAGGTATATCAAAATTACCAAATTCGTCAAATATACATGATGTATTCATAAAATATATCTAATTATAAAATTAAAAATTATCAAAACCGCATAAATAAAAGTAATCAAAACTTAGAATTAAAAGAAAAAATTGGTCATTTATGAATTTAAATGTTACCATTGTTTTTTAGAAATTAATTTTCAAATCGCACTATGCCAATATAATAGTAAATCAAACCCTGAGGATAATTTTAAAAAAATATCAAGACTTGTAGTACATAATAAATTGAATTTCATCGACAAACATTTGGATTTCTAACAAGAACATCGTTGTTCATTGAATACAAATTGCAACTAATATCAAACTACTCACATTCATGTGTCGTAACAACAAAATATCCTAATGGCGAATAATTTATTACAGTTATAATTTGACCGGATTCTTTTAATAATAGTTCGATGTATTTATGTGTTTGTAATAATAAAAAAACATACATACCCGTACTTAAGTTGCATACATGTTGCATATTTTAAATTCATGTTCAGATATTTGTTATCATGTTATTTATTTGCATTTCATTTCAACTATAATCAGCCCATAAATTAGAAAAGGTGCATAGATTTGGTTCCTGAGACCAAAATTACGTAATGATTTTAATGAAATTTGAAAGACCTGTTATGTTGCCTATTATTGAAATTAATGCATCAACGTAATCTGTTATGGTCGAGCAATTTTCGTTGCGTTGATATGTCACATCTCCATATATAAGCAGAATAAACACAATATATGATTGAAAAACCAATCAAAAACTGCCTAACTGCTAATGATTCAAGGATTATTTCAGTGAGTATGTTTGAGTTTGATATGGATAAAGAAATATGGGTTGTTGCTTTTCCAATTCCACGCATATTTATCAAATTTACTGTTAACAGTTTCTTTGTGATTTACTAATGTGTACATACTCAGATCAGATCAAAAAAAAAAAAAAAAATTGCTCAATCGAAAAACAACAAAAAACATCACTTTAAAAACGTCACTTTTTGTTTTATACCATCAGTTTAGTGGCCATTGTCATCGGATTTGCTGGGTGCCAACATAATTTTTTTCAACATCGACAATGTAATGAAAATATTGCCATGGAACCGCATTGCGTATCATTGAACATTATCCCGAACACGTAAACATATTTGTTGCCTTTCGCAAAATGTGATGATACTGTCGTTGATAAAACGTTCGCAAAATCATTGAATAATGAGCAAAAACGGATCGAAAATCCATAGTTAACGGTTAGCATCATCAACGGCTTTTGGTGTATGTTTTCATAATTACTTTGGACCCATAAGAAATTCAGTGCAACATATTTACTTGCACTGGAATTTTGTTGAAAAAATACATTTCATACTTCACGTTAAACGTTATTTTTAATGCATTTGCAATAAAAAAAAAACAGAAGATTTGTCCATGGCTTGCAATATATTTCGTTTTCGTTTGTTCGAAATTGAATAGAATCAGTGTAGCAAAGATGCTTGTTGTGGTTGATATCACGTCTGCAAAAAGAATATATGCATTCCCGTATCACACAAAAAGCGAAAATAAATATTTTACACACGGTGTTCTTCATTGTAGAATAGTGTGATACAATGGCAATATAGAGACTACGAAAGTCTCTAGGGAGTTTTATACACCATTCTATTTCGACTTTTATTATTTATATTGTGATTTCATGATATACGTTTCGTATTCTGAACACTGCGGCTTTAATTCAAGATGACCTTTAGTAACCCACTAGAATTTTAACACTGTATTATTGAACACTTAAAAAAATATAAATGCTATGACGTCCAAAAATTTTATTGGGACATTGTAGTGTTAATCAAGATTTCTAGGATAATATTTAAAACGAGCATAAAATACGCGAAAAACACTGTTCAACATTATAAACATAATATACATCTTAGGCTTCTTTTTTCATTTCTTATTTACTGCTTCTATTCTCGAGAGTGAAGTCTGGAAGCACTAAGAAAAAACATCACGCTCCCAAAACCGCAGAAAATTACAGACTATATTTCCATTCCAAGTGGCTGAATGAAATTCAGCGAATATATTTGCGAATAAAGTGAAGAGAAAACGAAACGAAAAAAAAATGTACACCATTCAGAATCGTGATACGGAGCAAAAACATTTCTTCTAATCTTCATCATTCTGTGACAATATGTAATTGTGGAAACACATCTTCGTCAAGCATTTGGAAACGCAAACAAAGCAACGAATACAATTGTTTGTAGCGTATACGAATGTTTTAAATAATATTCAACTGTTTACATAAAAATGGAGTCATGAGGCATGAAGTCCATTTAAACCCATGATCTATGCTATCCCCAATAGAGTTGAATATAATTAAATTTTAACAAATTAACAGGTGTTATTCGAATAAATTGTAAACTTAACTGCTAAGTATTTTGACTCCATTTTTTTGAATTTTATCATTTTGTTAAAGTGGAAAAACGCACGCGGAATCGCAATTAATTTACCGTACATTTTGCTTATGAACTATGTATTACGGTCATGTACAATTGTCTATACGTCATTCATCCACATACTTTTTCATATACGTGTTTCTATTGAGATCTGATGAAAGGCATTGTTTTTTATATACTATTTTTTCTTTTATTACAAGGTATTGTTCAAGATACATAATATAAACACTGCAAAACTGAATGAGAAATTTTAGCGGTAAAATAATATTTTGAAAATACTTCATACCAAAAACAGTGTAAACATGATTTTTCATTAGTTTATGTCAGTAGTGTGCAGAAGGTGGTAGGGGTGAGGTTTTCAAATTTACTAGGGTTTTTGATTCAAATAGTGAAGACCTTTTTGCTCAACAAAAGTTGGAAAAAGGAGAAATTCTTTCGATTTGCTAGAGTTTTTTTTTTTGGATGCGAGAGACAATTTAAGGGTTTTTCGCCCAGAAAATTCTTACTATTTGTTAGGAATTTTCACCGAAAAAAGTGATATAGAAAAACAAAATCACCACCCCTCCCCTGAAATTCGCCTAGCACACTACTGGTTTATAAATTTTACATGGATAATATTCCAAGATATTTCAGAATATCTGGATATTTAACGTGGCCGCACAGAGCCAGAGCTGTGTGCGTCACACATAGAATAACGTAGATTCGTTAAATACATTTAAAACAGACACACCGTGACTTCATACGTGAAATGTCATAAACAATATTTGACATTTGAATTCTTTTCTTTTTAACTCTGGCTCGCAGTCTTTTAATGCAGTCGCGTTGAATATTCAGATATTTTAAAATAACATATGTATCATAAACATTGGCACAAACCGAGACATTTATTAGAACGCAATAACAAACACAAAAATGTCAACCAACGCACGTAGTGCATTTATCGGTACCCCGAGACTACTGTCAAACTCAATCCGACGTAATACATTCATTCGCGATGGCGTACAAATTGGATTTACGAAAGTCTGTCACAAACTGCTTTGGACAGCTAAGTACAAACGAAATTCTGCATGTGTCTAAGGATGATCCAATCTGTCTTCGAACCATGTATCGTGTTTAATTGACTTAGTGTGAAGATGAGGATTCTAGAGACTGCAAAAATTACGGTCGTATTCCCACTTTAAATGCTCAAACCCTTCAAAATTGTCATCAAGTACCGAAAACCGGGTTGGTCAAGCAAAAATTCATTTTTGGTAATTCTTATCGTTACAACACATCCAAATCTGAACCAAAACAATAGATTTAGACACGATCATTAGAAATCAGCAAAATAAGCTACGAAAAAATTCCAAATAGTGGCGAATATTGGATATTTACTTCATCTCATAGCATGTTGCACTGAAAAATTCATCATTTTGGACAGTGAAACATTCATCGCCAAATCAAACCACGAATCAAGTGCAAGTGGTTTCTTTTGCATTGATTATGTTAGGGCACTACTATATAAGGCTAGAGACGTCGACAAACCAAACTTTGATAAAGGGGTGTTTGTATGGTAGGATCTTCTTAGGAAGGTGTTTTAGAGCCATTATTCGAAAATTTAGTGCTGAAATGTAAAGTTAAACCCCCATTACTTGCTCCATTATCAACCAATTATTGTTGAAATCGATAGGATTCGTTGAGAACTATCTGATTAAGGACAAAATTGTGTTTTGCAAGCAGAAAAATACACAATAATGGCTCACTTCTTAAAAAATGGCATTTCCATGAAAAAAGATGGTCCTTTTAAACTTCACAAAAACACACCAAATTAATTATTTCTAGTCTGTTTTTGGATGTATGTTATAGACGAAGGTCCAAAATACTTGAAACGAGTAACAATTGGTTGGATGGATTGAGAGAAAGTTGAAAGAAATCGATATATTGGTCGTCCAGAGCATGATTTTGAAGGTTCAAAGCATACTGAGAAAAATTGAAGACAAAGGTCCATTAAGTGTAAAGTGAATGTGCTATTCGATAGCCTATGAATAAAGGTTTATACCAATAAAAAAGAACTTATTAATGTGTGTTTGTTGTTCAAATGGCGAAAGTCTCAATTTGTGCCAATGTTTATGATACATATGTTATCTTGGATTGAATACTGGTAAATTGTTTGCCTCAACAATTCTATTTACTATTGTAAATTTACTAGACCAAGAGCCACTCCAACAAGTAACTTTTTTTCTTGCTTTATATCAGAAAACT